TAAACGACCCCTCGTTCGCCGCGTGAATATGAATCTGAATGCTATTCGAGGGCTCGCGTAAGATGTAGATCAACGACGGTATAAATAGGAATATTCGAGGGTTACATTTTCTTTATTTTTTTTTTTTTTTGCTTTTTTACCCTGCCTAGCTCTGTGAATGTTTAAAGAGTGCAAAGATTGGTCGTTGAAGATTGCTCGAGAGGAAAATAGAGATTGTTTAAGAGAGGCGATATCAATTAACCGTTAGAGTGCTATGGACGCATATATGCATTCGAAGGAACCTTTAAACTCTTCACACCTCTCGAGTGTTTCTTGAGAGAAACACTCGGTGGACACTTTTCCACAAAAATATTCTACTAGAATGGTCAATACAAATGAGTATGTTAAAGTCGGAATTTCTTTATTCTGTGAAACAGAGAATCTTATTAGAAATGATCAAATAAACTCCACAGCGTGAAATTTAGCATCGCCGAAGCCTGTCTCAATTATAACTTACTTCACTTGTCTCTTCCACAGCTTCACATGCCTAGCTTGCATTTCAACACTCAACTCCAAATTTTCGGAAATGTGACTTACACCGCAGTAACTTTAACCCTCTGAAATGTAAAAAAAATACACATTCCTCGGAGAAACCATCATTCCGTCATTTCATCATTCCATCATTCCAGAATTTTCCGGACAATCGCAATCTTTCCAGCGCGATCGAAATTCTCCCACAGAGATGCCACGCCGCATATAAGGTCAAAGGTGCAATAAAACAGGCGAGACGTAAAAAAGAAATCCTCAAGAATTCCCGTGGCGAGCGAATAAATCGACGCACAGTTGCGGTTCGTTATGAGGCCGGCTGTATCGGTGACCGCGGCCGAGCGATGAATTAAACTTTGAATTTCGCTAATTACAGATTCTGATACAGCGTTCGCAGAAAATCGTGCGATACGGTGGTGTGGGTGAGTCGGTGTACACGGCAAAAGCCGATACCTCGAAGGAGGAAGCCGATACGCGACTTCTTTCGCGACACGAATAAAACCGGCGCGGCGGTACCTGTAGCGGCGTCGAGCACGGTCCCGCGCTAACGGTTCTCCCCCATTCTAATTAACATTCCGCGTATTTATTAGACGCGGATCTGCAATTAATCAGGTGGATTCAATTAGCGAATTACCAATTAGCACGCACGCGTTCACACGCTCTCGGACACCGCTTCGGAGGATCCTTGTTGGACGAAGACGCGCCGGGATAAACCGTATGAAGCGGAACGTATAGAAACGCGCGTCGCGTCGTTAAAACTGCAAATCTCGAACGCGAACGAAATGGGAGAGACATCCGGGGGACTCGTTTGCACCAACTTTTCGTTCGCTCGTACGATAAAAGCATTCCTGAAGGAGTCGGTTTACTCGGTATTCCACTTGGAAACCGACGATCACGGAATTTTAAGGCCTTAAACAGGACGCAAGTCATAACTGTACCGAACACCGCCAGTTTCGAATAATTGGAAAATTCAAGGAACGCTGTGTCGCGTGGTTTATCTTAATTTTCTATTTTTTTCTCTATCTGAACAGATAACTACGAGATGCAGTACTCTGTTTAAAAAGTTGAAGGACGAATTCGTCCTTTCGAAGAATTGCTAAGAATTAACCCCTTCGCTGAAGTTCAAAATCTTCCTTTTACGACGTGTCGTTTGAAAATCTCTTAGTAAATTAAGGTGAAAGTTCAGAAGGATTAAATTAGACGTCCGTAGCAATGAAAGGGTTAATAGACGATATTAGGAGAAATGGTGTCAGATTTGTGGAAAAACGATTAATGAATTTTGCGACCAAATAAGTAATCTGAACACGCGAGGAATGATACGATAATTGATAGAAATATTCTTGGAACGTATTTTGACAAATCGGTATGCCAGAATGTCTCTGTACGTTATTATCGATATTACGAAAAAGCAACTCACCTGTCTTCAGCCTCTTTCATCCACCTCTCCAGGACCGGTTTTATCTTTTGCGCGCTCTTTGGCGTGATGTCCAATTTTTCGAATCTAGAGCCAACAACAATTTATGGTTCTCGTTCCTCTAATTCTCACATCTTGTAGAAGATCAAACTCACGATAGAAAGAAATCGTGATTGCCACGTCAAAGACGTAAAGACTTGCTCGATCGCACAACCCCAATTTAAAAAACACTAGCATTTAATCCAAAGGAATATACACTCAGTTTCTGAAGTGAACATTATACAAGATTCTTCAAGAAAATTCTTTGCGTCTTTGTTCGACTAAAGGAGCACTAAGAGGCATGCATTGACTCAAAAACAGGACATTGACAATGCGTGCATGCTTTAAAGGTTTTGGTGATGCCGTGTATGATGTTGCCAACGCGCTTCGAGAGCTATAGTGTTCGTATCTGCGACGAGCGTGAACTCTGTCCAGTCGCCGTGAAAAAGATCGACAAAGATCGAATATGTATATATGTATATATTAAAAAAAAAAAGAAGAGAGAGAACAGATCGATCGATCGTCTAAAGAGGAACACACTCTCGTCGACGGACGTGTCGATCAACGCGATTTCGTTTCTCGCGCTTCTTTTCTTTACTTTACTTTTTTTTCCACGCGTGTTGGCGACATCATGCCCAAGTTTGCCAATGCCCTGGCTCGAAGAAATCGTTAAATTTCAGAAGTGCTCCTTTCGCATCTCATTTTGCCAGAAACGGAGTTAGAAATTAGCGAGAGTGCTTTTGCAGCTATACCCAAATATGCCCCATTGGTATATTATTTGACGTGTTCGAATACGAGACGTTTCGTCCAACGAAACACCGATGAACCGAACAGATAGAGGTAGAGATAGATAGAGAGAAAGAGAGAAGATCGACAAGTCATTTGAAACAGAAAACAGATGAAAAAATCAAGAGAGAAGAAATATATATATATAGTAAGAAATTGAAAGAAAGAAAGAAATCAGAATGTGTGTACGCTTTTTCCCTTACTGTTGAAAATTGAAAAAAAAAGTCGTGACTCAAACCTTGACGGTTTCTTTCGTTTTGGTTCGATCGGGAAACAATTGATCACTGTGCTACTACTCTCCGTGTGTGTGTACGGCCTTTGAATGTTACACACGACGATACCATAAACGGATTCACATGCTTGGGTATAACTGCTATATGCTTCCAGAGGATTTGAAAAAGTTTTAGATTTTTAGGTAAATTAAGTAGCATGAGGGGTGAACGTACGTAGCTTGCTGCTGAGAGGCAATCTGCGAGGCAGCATACATCTGGGTAGCCAGGGCACTGGGGAACAATCACCAATGCTTAAATTAGTCGTTACGATAACAATACTAGGATGTAGAAACATCGTTTCTACTTGCCACCAGCATTTACCACCGTGGTTCCTTTCGCTTTCTCTAATTGTACAAAAGAAAGAAAGGAAGAAAAAAGAAAAGTAACTTGCTCACCGCGGAGAGATCGTCACAGACGCTAAAGCACACGTGAAGCTACAATTGCGAATGGAAAAAGGGAAGAGAATGAAACAGACGTTGATACTCTTTAGGAACCACCGTGGCAGATTACAATGTTATAAATTTCTCACAGAATACGATCATACGAAAATTCAACGTAATTCCCTCGGAATTTGTATCTCGAAGAGCGCTTAACGCGATGAGTCAAGGTAAACAACATGAGTACAACTGAACCGAGACAACTTGTGATGACTAACTCTGCCGCGACAACACTAATGTCCAAAGTGAATCAGCCACTCGGGGGGGATTGTTTTTTAAAGTGGAAATGTAGGTCGACAATTCTGTCCATTTGACGAAATAAATGTGAGAGATGGGTTGTACCTTGAGATGTGCACCTTTCGAACAATTTAGTAGATGAGAGGAACACGGAGCAACAAGAGAAAGAGATTCACAGAACAATGATTGGAGATTGGACAGAAAGGCTGTAAGTACCATTGGACTTCCATTCTTTATAAAAATATTCAGATAAAAATATTCAATCAGTTTTTACATATTTTGTTAGTAAACAACATTTTGGTGGACTTCGACTTTTTCGTGTAATTTAAAACTCCCTTTCGTTAATTAATAAGACTTTCAAAAATATAAAAATAAAAATATTCCAAGATTATACAAAGCAGTATGGTACGATGTAAAAAATTGATTGACACCTACAGCCATTTGCACGTAAACACCATAACAGGATTAATTAGCCATTTCGAGTGACCAATTCAGTTTGGACATACGATAGAGTAGAGCAAGAAAGCCTGATTCTTTCAGGAACGTTCAAGAAGCTTCTCTAAACCTCGACATCTCTATAGAGGGAAGAAGATATGATCGAGATTGGTCTATTTAGAAATGGTGTATGTACATAGAAATGTTAGCAGCGAAAAAAAATTGGAAATCGACAATCCCTCATTTTCCCGGCCATTTCCAGTGACCTGGCACACTGTCGTATATCATAGCCTACATCGTTTTCACTTCTGTGTCTCATCAGCGACGTCCGTTTAGAAGTTCGTGATAAGATGAGGAGAGAAAAAAAAAACCAAAAATAAAACCAAAAAAATAATAATACATAGGGAACACGACGAGGCGTCGTACACTCACCTGCATATGGCACTTTGGCTGTAAGCTGGACCCTCTGTCACACTCAGGGCCTGTCCCACCTGGGTCTGCGTGAGACCCAGCGACAATCTACGGAATTTGAACACCTTCGCGAACTCTTTGATCTCCTCCAGATTGTAACCATCCACTATGTTGTTCGTGGCCTCGTTGATGGTCGGCTGATCTGTAATTACACGTTCGATGTCTCTGCTTTGACGTTCTTGGAGATTAGGGCGAACAGAAGTAAACGCGGAATTTTTTCCCCTCAAAATTACGACAAGCGGTTTTTAATCCAATCCTTTGAGCGTTTAGTCCACGTTCTTAGTTCGTTGGAATAATTAGAAATTAATTGGGAAAGAATTTAAATGGACATTGTTTGGACCACGTTTGGTCACATTAGCGAGGACTTAAGTCAAAATAGTGACATTAGTGAGGACTTAAAAATGAAAATGTTGAAGTGTCAAAAATACACTTCTCTGAGGAAACTCAATGTTGAGATTTTTACTGAAAATTATATTATCATCGCCCTCGTGTTAATACAATGAGCGTACGATTCAATAAATTATGGAAATTCACAAATTAATGTGAAACTTAATCACAAAAATATTTTCCAAATCTTCAATTGATCTGTAAAATAATTCTCGATTGTCAAATTCAGTCCTCTTCTTTACCAAAAAAACTGAGAATTTGCATATTCATAGAATCTAAGGGGAACGACATATGGTGTTCCAAATAACCCAATTTCACAAGGTATAGTGTCTAATATCTATTCAATACTCCGCTAAGACAGGCCCGCGTGTATTTTGACTAAAATTAAAGTATCACAGTCCGTTCTTTTTCTCTGAAATAATACGTCCAATCTATTTGTTGGAGTGTTTGAAAGCTGTGAGAAGCTGCCTAATGACATCGGGCGGCTTCGTTAAAGCAGCTTGAGGTACACCGATTTCTCTCGTAAATCTGTCACCCCGAATGTATACGCACGCAATAGAGGTGCCCACATGCCCTGCAATCTCGACCAGTTCGAGCGGCTTTCTGCACCGTGCAATAAACTGCAAATCCTTCTTCCGCGGCACGCTGCTTCTGCGATCATTAATTTCCAATCGAACGCGCGAGAGCCCTCCTCCGTCCTCTCGCCGAGACAAAAACGCGATGCTCCTTGACTTTCTCGTGCCTTGATCGTCGTCAACTGCCCCATTTCGAGGAATGCACCGGCATTTTCGCGAATCGAAGCTACGCAAGAAAGCGCAACCTTCGTGTCCAAGACGAAGAAGAATTCGAATCGCTTTACGATCGTTATTTGCACACGAATGTTTCTTTAATTATACACTCCTGGGAAGCTTTTAAGATTGTTTTTCGTGCCGTAACCGAGTTACACTTCGTGTAATATTTAATAGAACTTTCCACTGTCTTGCAATTTTTCCCCCCCAACGAGATACGCGTTAACAATTTTTATTCCCACAAAAAAATTTCTCCTAACGCAATTCACTTTGCGATTACCGATAGAATGGAAGCATTAGTTTCAGTGCTCCAGAAGGAAATTTTGCAAGAGTACTAACGGAAGCAAATTTCTAGATATTTCTCGTCACCGACGATCGACTCTGATTCGCTATTTTTCTCTTCCTTAACCCCTTAACATATGACAACGTATCAGACTCGTGGCAGAGATTCTGGCGAAGATGAGAAAAATAGTTGTATTAGTAAGAAAAGTTCATTGTAATCCTAATTCTCGTTTAAATTTGTAAGACTGAGGGACTGCTAATTGTAATTAATCTGTGACAGATTAGCTTTTGTTACCTGATGCAGTACTAAAACAGAAAATGGCTGACAGTTAGATGCACTGTCGGAAAAGAAATCATAGGTTAAGGGGTTAACGCGTTCTTGGCAAGAATTCTTATACATTTTCAATATCAACAAAGTCATCTGTTTGTTGCACAGTGCATTGTATAGTTTCAATATTTACTTTGCGAGTAAATAAATTCCGAGCTGAAAAAAGCTCAAAAATATACAATTTTTACATATTTACCGGTAACGACACTTGCTCAAAGACAAGATTTTAGACGGACGCGGAAGGCGAATGCAGGGTCATTTTGACCCATAGCAAAATTTCTATCGTACGCGAGTTTCAAGAATAAATTGTGCATACTTTCAACTATATATATTTCATATTCTTCTTGTTTGTTTACATTTGATACGTAAAATAGGTGTATTTCCTGTACCAAAGTGACTTTATCGCTGTTGAGTCGAAATGACCCTGCATTCGTCGTACGAGGGTTAAGTAGTGTACGATTTTTTAGAGAAGATAACAAGGCCGTGAAAGGAGTAACACACAAGTCAGCGAAATTTACGTCCTATTGTCGCAGCCCTGTCCGTCGAGGCAAACAAAGAGTAAACTGCGTTAGCCTCCTTATCTAGCCCGATGATTCTCTAAATTCACGAATCAACGCTCAAGGATCCGTCCGCGATAGGTTAAACAGAGACGCAGATTTATCGAGTAACGTGGCACCGGCAATTGAGAATCGTTAGGCTCGATACGTCCAACGATTATTCGATCGTGGCCAGCGGAATGACGGAGTGCCAGTCTAAGCAATGATTGTGAATTATTAAAATTATTGTCTGCCGGCTGGAGAGCTTACGTGCACCGGTCGGAGTCTTTATGGCTTCCCAGAAGGCAGGCAGGGAACGATCTAATACACCGTAATGAGCCGTGCATTGTACGATATCCTATTAGGATTATTAAGAGCTCCGCTGGCGCGGCCGTAGACGCCGACATTATTATTTATCGGCTTTGACCGTTAAAACGTTGAATCGCGCGAAGGAAGGAAACGTGATTCGAGGCAACGAGGCAGGAAGAATCGACGAGGTTCTCTTAACGCACCGCTGAAAAGTTTCTTCCCTCCGGTAAATAGGATTCCCATCAGTCGACGTGATTATCAGATTGTAACGCGCGTTACGTCTATTGTAAAGTTGAATTGAATATTGAAATTATGTTAGTAGAGATCTGGGCACCTCTAGACGCTCTGCAGGAAGTAATTTTGTCCCTTTCGGTGGTTAGAATGCATTTCTTTTTTTTAAATGTGTTATTCGACCGCCTAATTAACGTAACAACGCGAGATCCAGTAAGGTGTGTATTACAAAAACTCGAGGACTTAATGTAAAAATTGTAGGATAATTCGATGTGACAGTTGTCGATTGATGAATCGATACGAAATATTTTTAGTGTTGTTAGTTAGTTTACACGCTCCAGTAGCCTGAATTCTCGCAGCCATCGATCAAAACCTTGCCTAACTTACGCATAAAGGTAGTATATTAACAGAAAAATTCTCACGATAAGTATTAGTGTCAGTATCAGCCAAAATATGAGGATCTGTTGCTAGCTAGTTTTTATCAAAGAAAGAAATTAATAAAAAATTGAAAATAATATTGACGAGATTGAGAAGATAAATGGATCGCTCTGTGTTTATTTTACTGTGACTCAAACAACAACTTATGGCTCATCTAATTAAACACACCTTCCTAACTACGTTTCCAATCAGCAATGAAACCAAACCCACCAGACAGCAACGAAAAAAGAAAAAACGTGAAATGGAGAAGAAAATAAGAGTAATCTTACTAGGTGAATCATTCAGATCGTCCTCCTCCTTTTTCAGATTGTGCATGCTACTCGGCGAGGCCTTCACACCGGCTCCGCTTGGTCCATGCGTGGTCGTGATGGTGATTTCTCCGTTGCTGGCCGCCAGTCTGTTTAGTGCTGAAGCCGCGGACACCACGGACTCGTTCAAAGGCGACGATTGCTCTGGCCTCTCTCTGTGATGCTTCTCCGTTGGCTGTGAGGGACACGCGGGGGATGGTAGTAACGGATTAGTAGCTGAACCAGTATCACAAACGACAATGCTCCATGCTTCTCTTCCACGCCAATTATGCACTTAATAATGAGACCCCCGGCCTCTCTCTCTCCCCCTGTTTTTCCTCTCTTTTCTTTCTCTCTTTCGTCTCGCTCCGATCGAGACACTTTAGAGTCTAATTAGTGGAAGAAACGCCGCCGCTACGGAATACTTTCTTAACGAGATTGCTTGCTATCGGGGAATTATTCTGCTTGTTCCGCTGATCTTGCGCCGGCTCAGCCCTTTCCACCTTCACGGGGACCGCGGTTTCGCTCGTATATCGCGTCCGCGGGTTCACAACTCGTTTGTATTGTTACTGACCGCGTCGTGGAATACTGCTGGAGGGAAGGATATCGAGGAAGAAGGGAGGAGATGTTCGTTATCGACGAAAATCAGGTAAATCAAAATTCCCGGAGAAGAAGTATTCCGGTTTCTTGGAACGAAATAATACGGAATCTCCTTGCTCGAAGCAAACGAGCGAAATGTCGGCGAATTAACCGAATGAAACGAAGGAAAACGGCACTTTCCCGTATCGAGTTAAGTCCGTATCAGATCGGCGAGAAAATTTCGCGGAATTTCAATTTTTCAGAGGTCCAACTGGCAAAATTATTCAAGTTGGCAACGTACGGCGACGGATACTCATTCGTTATTAGTGTCAACGGGTATCGAGTGTTCGCCGAGTCACAAGGATAAAATAATATTCGTCAGACAGGTTTCGTTGAATTCTTCACGAAGAAATCGAACACAGGGGCATTTTCGATGAAAACGATTCAGAAAATATGTATACATTGTTGATTAAATTATCACCGCGGTGTGTCTATTGATAGGATTTCGGCGTCGGTAGCCGGGGCGATAAATTGAATTACGCTCGTTTCGCAACCTGGACCAGATATATTTCCCAAATGTCATCGTGCAAAATGATAGAAAATTAG